TTCCATATGGAATTTAACTACTCTAAGTTTCCTGGATGAAAAAGAAAGTCTAACTAGTGCTAAAAAATATGGTTAATTTTTTTTTTTCTTTGAGATGAGGTCTTCCTATGTTGCCCAGGCTGATCTTGAACTCTTGGGTACAAGTGATCCTCCCATCTCAGCCTCCCACATAGGTGGGATTACAGGCATACACCTGTACCCAGCTTGATAAATGAGTTTCAAAATTTGATTGAGTTGAATCTCCTAAAAGTTGAACAATGGGCTGGGTGCAATGGCTTATGCCTGTAATTCCAGCACTTAGGGAGGCCAAGGCAGGAGAACTCTTGCTTGAGCCCAGGAGTTCAGGACCAGCCTGAGCAATATAGCAAGACCTCATCTCTACAAAAAATAGAAACAATTAGCTGGGTGTGGTGGTTCGTGGCTGTAGTCCTAACTACTCAGGAGACTGACGCGGAAGGATCACCTGAGCCCAGGAGACCAAGGCTGTGGTGAGTCATGATCATGCCACTGCACTCCAGCCTGGGTGAGAGAGTGAGATCCTAACCCCTCAAAAAAGAAAAAAAGTAGAACAATGAGAAAGAAGAGAGTGGATGGGAGTGGGAGGGAAGAGAGAATGGCAGAAGGATGATCAAGGATTTACAAGGTACATGTATTTTTCTCAAAAATCTTCCATAGAAACCAGAAGATTCCTACTTAATTTTAATTATCTTAAAATTAAAAGGGAATAAAAGCTAAATATAAACATAAATTTGAGAAAAATTTAAATATTAAATTTTAGACAGATTATGAGACTGGTTATGTTGAAGTCATTTAGAGACTAATAAAGTGACTACCTGAAAAAATAGATTTTTGCTTCTTAATAAATGTACAACTTGGAAGCATTGATCATAACCACCTCTGAATGAGGCACAGCCTGTTTAGGATGGCTCAATTTTTACCTAGCTGGGTGACTGGTAGCAGGTTTCTTAACCACTTTGTGTTTACATTTTCCCATGTGTTAAGTGGAGATCTTAACTGGGTACTTCACAGGGCAGTTGTGAGGATTAAAAGAGCTTAGAACCATGCATGGCATGTGGAAAGGGCTATACAACTTTTTGCTTTTACTATTCCTTAATAGGATTGGTCTGTCTATACCTCTGGACTTTTATACTTTCCCTTCTCTTTTCATCTTTCTTCACATGAATGACTCTCATTTGCCCTTCATGTAAGACACAGCTTAGTGGTGTCTTCTTGATTTGGGATGTTTTCCTGCATGCCTCTAACCTGGGTTCCATCCTATAAGCCTTTCCAGTCACCTGGCTGTGACTTCTGTCATAATCTTCATGACTGTATTGTTACTATTGGTTTACTTGTTCACATAGACTATGAGCACAGACTATTTCTTATTTTTTTTTTTTTTTTGAGTTGGAGTCTCACTCTGTCACCCAGACTGGAGTGCAGTGGCCGCTCCCAGCCACTGCAGCCTCGCCTACTGGGCTCCGGTGATCCTTCCGCCTCAGCCTTCCAAGTAGCCAGAATTACAGGCATGTGCTACCATGCCCGGCTGATTTTTTGATTTATTGTAGGTCTTGCTGCCCAGGTGGGTCTCGAACCCGCGGGCTCAGGCAATCCACTCACCTCAACCTCCCAAAGGGGCGGGATTACAGGCTGAGCCACCGAGCCCGGCTTATTTCTTATTTTTTTGGTATTTCATGAGTATGAGGGAGATACTGGATAAATGTCAATTGAATGGATAAATGATCAATTTCCCCTCTATTCTTCTCTCCTTTTTTTTTGAGTTGGAGTCTCCCTCTGTCACCCAGGCTGGAGTGCAGTGGCATGCTCACAGCCACTGCAGCCTTAGCCTTCCCAGTAGCTGGAACTACAGGTATGTGCCACCATGCTTGGCTAATTTTTTTTGTTTTAAAATTTATTGTAGAGATGAGGTCTCACCAAGTTGCCCAGGCTGGTGGTCTCAAATCCCTGAGCTCAGGCAATCCTCTCATCTCCTCTCAAAGTGCTGGGATTATAGGTGTGAGCCACTGCACCTGGCCTCTCCGTCCTTTCTTCTTTCTTAACTTCCTTCATTTCTACCAATTTTCCTCCCTCCCTTTCCCCTTTCCTCCTTCCCTAACTTTCTCACTTCACCCTTCCCTTTGCTCTCAAGTTTGGCACCTGATGCAATACCTTTGTTATTCCTCATAGGAACCTTTTGGGGTAAGTAATGGTGATCCCCATTTTGTAGTTGTGGAAGCAAAGGATCAGGGCAGTAGGCAGTTTGCCCATTCAAAGGGGCAGCTCCTTCACAAACCTGTCCTTTCAATGTTGCTGTTGCTCTTGCTTCTCAAAGCATTGTGACTTTTTTTCTTTGGCATTTCCTTCTGGCCAGTTTATGAATCACATAGGAAAACCAATCTTATTTTTGGTCACTCTCAGAAAAGCTCATTTTCATTCTGATCATGCCAATTCATCATGTTTGTCTCCAAATAAACTTAAGTCATCTCAGAAATCCAAACCACTTTCAAAGGACAAAGATTTGTCATCATCAAGAACATTTAAATGATTCAAAGACAATTGTCAAAGCATGTTCCCCAGGGTCTCGGTGGCAGCTGCATTGCTGGGCTGAAGACTGTAGACTCTGCTGTGGACTTTATTCTGTTGAGGTTTAGGGATGGGGGCTGGTGGAAGAAGGTTGTATCACCTTGTAGTCCCAGCTCATGTTTTTTGTAACAGGTTTATTAAGATAATGATTTGTATACCATATAATTTACCTAAAGTGCAAAATTTATTAGTTTTTAGTATAGTCAAAAAGTCATACAACTAACCACCCCAAACTAATTTGAGAAAATTTTCATTACCCCCAAAGAGAACCCCATACTTTTTAGAGCCACCCCCCGCTCTATTTCCCTGGTCTCCTCAACCCCAGCAATCACTAATTTACTTGCTGTCTGTGGATTTACTTATTCTGGACATTCTGTCAGTGGAATCATACAATATGTGGTTTTTTGTGACTAGCTTCTTTTACATGGCATAATGTTTCCAAGGTTTATGCAAGTTATAGTGTGTGAATACTTCAATCCTTTTCATCAATGAATAATATTCTATTGAATTGATAGACCACATTTTATTTACCCATTTATCAATTGATTGACAAATGGGTTGCTTCCATTTCTTTGACTAATATGAATATTTGTGTACAAAGCAACTTATGAATGAATAAGTAAAATGTGCTGTATTCATTCAGTAGATACAGGAAGTGACTGCTAAAGGGTATATGGTTTCTTTTTGAGGTGGTGCTTGAAAATTTGTTGTGTTGATGGTCACACAACTTTGTGAATTACTAAAAACCATTGCATTTTTCACTTTATAGGGGAGCATTGTATTAAAAAAATTATAATCTCCATCATTAAATACAAACCCATTGCTTACTCTGCATTGAGTACCCTGTGAGGCACTGTGGTACACAGGTGAGAGAGTGAGTACTTGTTCCCTAAGCGCTAGGAATTTCTTAATGGACTTTCTTAAATGGAAAGAAGAAGTAGATACTCAGAAAGAATATAATGAAGATGGTGCATCACCGAGTGCTAGTTTCTGGGTGTAGGCCACATTCAGAAAGATCTCAACACTTCTGGGTATCAACAATAGGAATTTCAAAATGTAATCTGCTCCAATATTTATATAACTTAAACATAGTATTAATATTATGCATACCTCACAGTATGCTGTAAATTCCCTATTTGACTTCTGTATTTAGCATTGTGTTTGGTCCACAAACAGGATTATGTGTTTGGTGAACGAATAACTGTTGTTTTGGAAGCCTCCTGGTTTGTTCCTAGGACAAAAATGCTTTCAGGCTTGTGGCTGCCTCCTCTGACCAGCCTAGGGGTTTGCCGTGTTGGGAAGGTGTTATTGAATTCACCAAATGTCTTCATGCAAGAATTTCTTTTCTCATAGCTGATAACTGTTTCATTTCCCTGGTGCTTTTACTCTGATTTTGGTTAAAGTTGTGACCTGAAATAACATGTGGGTGCTGGAAATACATCCAAGTCTGGATTCCTGGGTCAGTGAGATTCAGGAAAACAAAAAGTGAAATAAAGCTTATGTTTGGTTTTTCTTTTTTTTTCTTTTTTATGTCTATCAAATGTCAATTCTGTAGATTTTGTGTAGCTTATGGGTCTTTGCTGTAATTAAAATTTTTTTTTTTGTTGTTGTTCTTTCTGTTTCTGTGAAGGTAGTTTGTGTTAAGTTCTTTCTGTTAAATATCCTTTGCTCGCACTGGACTTTTCTTTGTGTTGATTTTTTGCTTCATTTTTTTTTCATTTCCCATGCTGTTCAGTTACTGGATGCCAGAAGAACCAAGGTTTGTCCACTCTTTGCAGCTTGTTTGTTTTGCTCTGCATAGACTCACCTCCTTGTGTGTTTCAGTGTGTTTGTCTGTGCCTGCACTTATTCCCTTTTGCTTGCAGATGCAGTAATCCTGTTTACTAAACCTGTTCACAGCTTTATTTGTATAAATAAATAAATAAATAAATAAATAAAGTCGTTGTTTGTGTCTACTCTAGTGGATGCTATTATTTTCATTTTTAAATTAGCATGCTTTGATTATGGAAAATAATGGATATTACGAAAAGAACACCTTAGGAAACAAGGAATACTGAGTCTGGAGCGTTGTGGGCATAAAGAAGGTGTGTTTGTGAAAGTTTCCCTCTAACCCTTTCCACTTCCTGAATTAAAACTCTGTAGATGTATAATTTCCCTTGTGACTGACACTAATATATTGTTTCTGTGTATGTGTACATTTCTCTTCTCCTAAGACATTCAGAAAGCATCATTGAATTAATCTCCCCTCTCCATGTGCTGTCCCATGCTTCTGAAGTCACCATGGAGGACTTCATGACTGGTCCTCTGGACCTCATGATTAACATTCCATCTTCATGATGTGGTGGCAGCAAACAGCACTTGGCATTTTCATTGACATCTTTTCTTTTCTCTCCTCTTCTGCTCCATCTTTCTCATTGTAGCACCTGCAGTTGACAATCCAGGCCCTTCAGGATGAGCTGCGAACCCAGAGAGACCTCAACCACCTTCTGCAGCAAGAAAGTGGCAACCGAGGAGCTGAACACTTCACCATTGAGCTGACCGAGGAGAACTTCCGGCGGCTCCAAGCTGAGCACGACAGACAGGCTAAGGAGCTGTTTCTTTTGAGGAAGACATTGGAGGAAATGGAGCTGAGAATTGAAACACAGAAACAGACCCTCAATGCCCGAGACGAGTCAATTAAAAAGCTTCTTGAGATGTTGCAGAGTAAAGGCTTGCCATCCAAAAGCCTGGAGGATGACAATGAGCGGACACGGCGGATGGCAGAGGCTGAGTCTCAGGTCAGCCACTTGGAAGTGATTTTAGACCAGAAAGAAAAGGAAAACATACATCTTAGAGAGGTAAGAACATTCACTTTATTTCTCCTAAGCTTTAATTTACAAGTTAAAATATGTTGTCAAGTTTTTTCCACAGGTTGGAAGATTGCTACAGCCTTAACAAAATGTCCTTTGTCATCTGCTTTATAATCTTCCTGTTTATGACTGTTAAACTGGAACTTTGTATGAGTTTTTTCTCCACTCGCTGCACATATGTTTCATCATTATTCAGCATGTATTCCAGATCCCAGCATGTGCAGCACGTGTCAACTCTAGGGTGGTTTGCAATTGCTTTTCCACAGGTGGTTATGCTTTTAGTGTCTTTTAAGTATAGTACTGTTAAGCTTAGTTGTTTATCAAATATCATCTCTCTAAAGGAAGAACACAAATAGATGATTAGTAACACAGTGTTTCAGGTTTTCTGAGTATGTGTTTTGCCCTTGGTGGATTAAATAATTTAAAGTCCTTCAGAGGCAGTCTCTTTGGCCTGCCACCATCATTGAATATTGGGATGCTCAGATATCTGAGAATATGTGGTTGAGTAGAGCTTAGAAAAAACATGGATGACTGCCAAAGTTTGAAATTTTTGTAATGGTTTCTTGCCACTGTGGTTGACATGGATCTTAAAAGCACCATATAGGCAAAACTGCTGTGGGGAGACATGGATCTCACAGAAAATAGCAAGCAATAAAATGGCATTAAATATATTTTCAAAATATTCTACAGCAATAAATAAAAATTCCGGAAGATATTTGCTTCCAGACCAAACTTCATTTCTTGGCATTAAATACCAGTTCAGATGGGTAACTCTTCTTGTGAGTCACTTGTCTGGTTGGTCAGAAGACATGCCTTCTATGTTGTTATTTGATAAAATGCAGATGCTGTCAGGAGTTTTCTCTGATATAGATTATATTTGCTTACAACATTTGAATAGACTTTTGTGTCTTCAAACTTTACGTCCTCTACTCTTATTCTGCCTTGTTTTGTTTTCATGAGAACATCTTTGGGCAAACCACATGGCTTGGTTTCGTATTGAGATGTTTAGAGTAGTGTTTTGTTGGGCCTGGTCTTCCAATTCATATTCCAAGAAGGTGAGTATGTTGTGTAAAATTCTAAGATAGCCTCCAATGATCCCTACTCCTTGGGATCCACACCCTTGTGTAATCCTCTTCCCTTGAGTGTTGGCTGATCCTTACAACTTGCTTCTCAATGGTAGAATATGGCAAAAGTAATAGAATGTCTGTTACTTCTATGATTTGGGTATATAAGATTGTTACTTCCATCTTACTAGTAGACTCTACTGCCTTTTTAGCTTGCATAAAGCAAGCTGCCATGTGGAGAGACCCAAGTGGTAAGGAACAGAGGCACTTAGTCCAACAGCCACAAAAACTGAAAACTGCCAACAAATACTTAGTGAGCTTGGAAGTGGATCCTTCCCAAGTTGAGCCTTCAGATGCAATGAGAGGCCCTGGGCTGACACCTTGATTACAGCCTGTGAGAGACCATGAAGCAGAAGACTCAGCTAAGCTGTGCCGAGATTCTTGACCCACAGAAACTGAGATAATACATGTGTGTTGTTTTAAGCTGCTGAATTTTGGGGTAAAATAGAGCAGAAACTAGTCCTCTCCCTGTCTTACTCCATAGATCTCTCATATGGTTTATAGAAGAGGAACAATAATTACTGACATGTTATTACTTGCCTGTAGACTGACTAGATTTTGAACTTTTTCATGTGTTCTCAAAATTGTGTTTAGTAGAGGATCACTATAAAATGGAAAAAGCTGCTGCTTTATTTTGGGAGCCACAGGATGATGTTGCATGTACAGCAAGGTTGGGATGCCAGAGGAACATCCATCTGTGGCACCATCTCTCACTCCATGTTGGGATCTTGTGGTCAGGGTGGAATTACTCTTCTTCTCCTATTAAATTCTGCTTATTGGTAGCACTTAAATAGATGGTACCTTTGTGGCTGCCTCCATTTAAATGAATCTAAACCCTATTCAACTATGTTTTCTGAGACTGATTGTTTCTCATGATGGTCTGGTATGATATAGATCATGTTTGGAGCCATAAACATCAGTTTGAAAGCACAGAGGATGGTATAGAAAGTGTAATCCAAGCCGGGCTCAGTGGCTCAGCCTGTAATCCTGCGCCTTTGGGAGGCTGAGGTGAGTGGATTGCCTGAGCCCGCGGGTTCGAGACCCGCCTGGGCAGCGAGACCTCATCTTTTTGATAAATTAAAAAATCAGTTGGGCGTGGTGGCACACACCTGTAATTCCGGCTACTCGGAAGGCTGAGGTGGAAGGATCGCCGGAGCCCAGCAGGCGAGGCTGCGGTGGCCGGGAGCGGTCACTGCACTCTAGTCTGGGCAACTGAGTGAGACTCCAACTCAAAAAAAAAAAAAAAAAAAGAAAGTGTAACCCATTACATTCAACTAGCTTCCTTGAGCTGCTGATGTAAGTCAGTGGATAGCCCTTATTTTGGCTCAGCATGAAAGGAGAATATGGAAAATGTGTCACTATATAAAAAACTCATTTTAAACTTGGACTCAACAAATAAAACTTAGAGGCTTGAAAGGACCCTTCCCAAGAGAAGAATTGTATTGGTTTGTGAGACCAGTTTGTTAAATTTTCAGGAATCTTGTAAGCCTCCTCTTAAACTACTGGTAGCCTGAAATTGATCATGGCTGGAATATTTACTACCATGGCAATTGGCAAATGCTACTCTTGGGGCCTACCTCCCTTGTTCTGTATCCATTTCTGAAAGCTTATTTACTATCACACTTCTGAGTAAATATTGTAATATGTTTACACATAATACAGCAAGAAGGGGCATTGTGGAGTCAGAAAGTTAAGTACTCAAATAATTATGATTATAAGTGTATTAACTACTCATGGGTCATCAAAAATTTTCAAAACAGCATCTGTATGCATGCTTGTGTGTCAGGCATCAGGAAGAGTGCTTTACGTTGATTCACACTGAATTCTTACAACCACCTCATTCATTCAGTAATCCATTCATTTATTCATTAATCTTTAACCCTTTCCTTCATTCTTTTATCCATTCATTAAATTAATACTTATTAAAAAATGTGTTTGTGAGGCAGCAATGATAACCAATAAAGTTTGGTTTCGTGGTGCTTGCATTCTCTGGGCGGGAGTTAGGCAACAATTTTGTGTTTAAACAGAGAAGTATCACAAAAAAAGAAAAGGGTAAAGCACAGTGGCCTGGGTGGGGCCAATTTCATATTGGGTGGTCAGGGAAGGCCTCTTGGAGGAGATAACATTATAAACTGAGATGTGAATGACAAAAAGGAAGCAGCTATGTAAGGATCTCAGAAGACTGTTCCAGTAGGATGGAAAGGCCCATAGCCTCGGAGGTAGGTGCTTTGCCAATTGTACCTGGGGGAATTGAAGGACAAGTGGCACTATGATGCTTAACCAGTGACACATAGCAAACAAACGATGAAATTGATGTTCGAATCAGGCTGAATCCCGAGTCTCAGGTTTTAAGCCATTTCATTTTGTCCCATTCTAGAAGAATATTTCTCAAAGTTTGATTGGCAGAATCACCATGTTGTGGGCTGTTGATATGTGTCATGAGAGAAAAAGGGCTATAGGGCCAAATGAACTTGGGGAAATACTGGTTTCCACAGTTACTGCAGGACTCCTCAGACTCTTTAATACACAAATGAGCCTCAGTCATTCCCAAGAAGAGGACTAGGGAAGGTTAAGCTTCTCAAATTTACTGACTTGCTTTCCTCTTATTGTACTGGTGTCCTTTGTAAAACATTTTTGAAAAACTCTATGCTGGAAAATAAAAACAGTGCTTTTAATTTGTGACCTGCACAACATGTAATACTATACAAATAGTTGTTTCCCATTGCTAAATAACTGGGAAATTTTCTTCATTAGTTATTCTATAACGCAAAATTCATTGTAAGCTGTTTCTGTATTCTCTGTTGAGTTTTAGAATGTACTTCTGTCAGGGTTTTTTTTTTATTTTTTAGTACAAATATAAAAGTGTCTGACCGCTTTTGTTATTAAACCAGTAAGAATAACTCAGCTTGAATAAAGAAGTTGCCTGACCTCTGTTAATTTAAATGCATCTAAAACAGGATTTAAAATGTACTTGAGGTTTTCAGTTCAGTGTGTTCTTGATTTCTTTTTCATTTTGCACAGTTCAAGTAGGTAGGGGTTAGGTGGTGTAATGCTGGGGAATGGAGTGCTAGTGGTTTTATGATTCATTCTCAGGCAGAGGTGGTGGACCTCACATAAACCCCATCTCCTGGCCTTGTTCAGCCTATTGTTTTAGGAGATTTGGATTTGGCAGAAATTGCATATGGGGTGCGGTGGGTTGCTTTGGTGTTTTGTTGTCTTTTGGTGGTCTGGAAAAGGCTGAGGGTGAAACCACTTCTTTGTCTGGCAGGAAACAACATCAACAAAAAGGTTATGATCTCAACTGATTTGGAAGACCAAACCTATTGTCCAGGAACTATAGCCGACGTGCTAATGGGAGCCAAAAGGTTGGCTGAAACTCAGCATGACTCACTAGTGTTGTCTGATGCATTTGGATACAGGTTGATTTGATAAGACATTGCTTGATGTGGTAATAGTTTACCTTGTTTTTCAGCTTTTACTGCAAAGAACATACTGTTCTATGTAAAGGTTTTAGTGATCAAGTATCCAAAGTACTATGAGCTCATTAAAGAAAAAAAATGGATTTATACATCAGGATCCTCTTATATTTTCCTTAATATTTTCTTGACTGGTCCTTAGAAGAGAGTTAGAGGTCGTTGGATTTATCTCACTGTAAGATGCTTGAAGGGAAGGAATATATGTTCTGCGGTGAATCCTATTGCTCTCCTATGTTAATCCCTTTGGGAAGCTTTCCTTCCTTTGGTAGTGGGGGCAGAAGAGTACCCACATCCTTAGAGACCACCATTGCTAATAACCCAGAACCAGCAAAACTTCCAGGAGACAGGACCTGGGCTTACCTCCATGCTGTAGGGAGCAGAGAGGAAA